ACATAGTTTTGATGTATTATTTAAAATCTAAATAACAGCAGCCCTTTCATTAAAACTTACTATTGAACAGAATTAAGCCTTAGTTTTGTTTCATTTGTTACCACTTGATCTACTCATCATTCTCAAGTAGTGAGTGGTCACTGCTTTTTGCATTTAAAAAAGGGACATAATTCTTATGAAGACTCCTTTTCTTTTCCACGTTAAGAAAAATCTCAGTGCAATTAAAAACTATAAGCAAAATTTTATGTTCATGTATATCATGAACATTTTTAGGGAGAGACCATTTATAGCTTTCATCATATTTTTGGAAGGTATGTAACATAAACACTTATAGAGCCACTAGCTTAAATCTAGTGCTCTGGCTCCATATTATACAGCTCTTCTATTTTCATTTTAAATTCTTTTTACTGGACTTCTTTCCCACAACCAAAATGCCTACTGCTCATCAACCCTGTTCTCAACTCCTACCACTACTTCTGCAACTGTACTTTGACTTGACCTGTTTCTCTATGGTCTTCTTCCCGTGCATTCTCTTTTCCCTGTGCTGCCCTGCATTTATTTGCTTCAGTGTAGAACAATTTATGTCTACATTTTTCATCAGTAAAAGCAACAATTTCCCTCCAGATGCAAGAGTGAGCTGAAGTAAAGAGCGCAGGCCCTCCGCCCTCCACTCCAAGACTCAGGCCACTGCTCTCATCCCAGGTGTGTGCAACATACAGAAGTGTAAGGCACTGCCATAATCAACATTCACCAAAATCAAGCGCTAATATAAGATTCAAATTTATAAATGAGGACAATAAACAGTACTCTGACATCCTCAGATGTAAATAAAAAGTCACAAAGACAAATAAAACAAGAAATGAGGAAGGAGAAAATAAACCAGCAATCAATGCAACTACCTGGCTAAAATGATGGAAATGATCACTTATGTTTCTGTTTGGAAGCTGAATTAAAAAGAAATCAGCTTAAACTGGAAGAGAGCCTTCCTGATTGTAAACATTACTAAAACTAGAAAAAAATCTTCACATAAAGTTTGATGGAACGGGTTTTTCTCTCTCTCACTGGAGTATCTTGGGTTTTTCCTTCTCAGAGACGCAGAACTGTACAAAATGTCTTTGTAAGAAATATAAACATATTTTATCACACTTGCCACCCAAAGAAATGAATCCCTTGAAAATCACTGTGAAAGCTCTCCCAAGAGTTTTTGTTTTCCTCTCAAACATACTACACAGATTAAGTGTGTCACTGATTTTCAATAGTCTTTAATCTTCTGAATAAGAGAAGAACCTTTGGCTAATCTTAATCATAACTGTATTTATGAACATTCATATTAAAGAATGGTTTTCATGTACTGTAAAACTAGGTAATGGCATCCAAGTTATTATATTATCCAAAGACATTTTCTTCTCAGGCAACGTTCAGAAGTATCAAGCTTACTTTTGATCAATGTACTGCTTTGTAAGGATTTTATCACACCAAATACCCAATACACTTACTAGCATGATATGATAATGCTTAGCATCAACAGAAAAACTGCAAGAATCCGTCATTTGCTCATACGACAGCTAAGGCAGTAACTGATTTCAGTGTTCAGAATAAAGAAACGAGGGCTACCAACCAACTTTTTAAAAACCTGTTTTCCAATAAATTCTCAGATCCAGGAAGAAGAAAGAAAGAACATCAAATATAACTTAATATAATGTATTACCTTTTTGTCTCTGGTCCTTACTTCCCCATAGAAATCTAGGGCCTCTTGTGCCTTTAAAAATTTGCCCCGATGCAATAAATATGCACAAATCATTACACCAGTTCGTCCCTTTCCAGCTTTACAGTGAATTGCTGCAACATGATTGTCATCTTCACTGAGCCATTGGTCAAGATCTTCACAAAAGGGTTTGATAAGTTCCAGCTGCGGTGGGTTATGGTCTTCAAAAGGATACTGTGCAACTGTGTAAAAAGATCACCTCAGAATGAGAAAAGCGGCCTTCCTGAATTGCTTCTTAAAAGTAGGTTAACTTCAGAAACGTTGCATATAAGCTTAACAGATGTTTAGAAGGAAAACTAAACTCCAGAGAAAAATACTCGTCTGATGATTTTCCAATTTTTGAACAGAAAACAGTCTCTCATTAATTTTTAAACCTATGCACTAGACAGAGAGGCCGATTATTTCCCCCCATGACGAAGAGGAGACTGCTCTGGAGAGCAAGCACAAGTCACAACGTGTCAGAGGGAGAGGAGGACCCGGAATGTCACACAGGTTTCCTGTCAGGGCTCTCAAGGCATTTTCTGACAAAACGAATAATAACGCTTATACTATTACATCATCACAAATATACATTCCAAAGAAAGTATCAATTACCAATAAATCAACACTGGAAAGGACTGCAATTTGCAATGCATATAATAAAAATGCAAAGTGTGCTATTTAAAGATGGCCTTGCAGGGGCACCTGGGTGGCTCAGTCGGTTAGGCGGCCGACTTCGGCTCAGGTCATGATCTCACGGTTCGTGGGTTCGAGCCCCACGTTGTACTCTGTTCTGTTCTGACAGCTCGGAGCCTGGAGCCTGTTTCAGATTCTGTGTCTCCCTCTCTCTCTGCCCCTCCCCCACTCATGCTCTGTCTCTCTGTCTCAAAAATAAATAAACATTAAAAAAATAATAATAAAATAAAGATGGCCTTGCGAATGTTAGTGTTGTACATACTACATGGGATTTTAAAGGCATTTACAAAAGAAACTGAAAAAAAGCCACTTATAAAAAGGTGTACAATTGTAGTAAAGTTTATCAAATGAAATTTCAGGTCTTTTCGTATGGGTTATAAAAACCCAAAATTTCTCTGTTCCCTATAGTCAGTCAGAGTTGAGAGTTCTTTTTTAACTTGCCTAGAAATAGGATTTTAAACATATCCCTATTAAATTCTGTCTTACTGGTCGCTGCCTCGGGTCCACTCGACTAAGATCCTTAAAAATCCTGATTGAATCCAGAGGATATAATGATCTCTGTGTCATCTAAATATGTGAAAAGTATGCCTTCTAATTTCAGTCAAGTCATTAATAATGTGGAACAGGATTTGATCAATTAAGTCCTCCCGTATGTCAGGTGAGCTCTTCTGGAAGACACGACTTCCATTACAAGGAGTCATCAGGACAGCTTTCACCTGGCCATCGGTCTGGCTGTACTATCATTCCATCTTCATCTTCCCAGTGGCACCCAAAAACATCCAGGAGAATCTGTTAAACATCTATTTAAAGCTAGACGAACCTTGACCAAAACACGCTTTGCCTAGTAAGCAGCAGCCGAAGTCATGAAAAAGGAAAAATTCTTAGTGAGTATGTCCTGGCTTCACAGCCATTAGTGCTTCTGAATTCTCCAACCAGCTGTCTGAAAGTCCATTCTAGATTTTCAGAAGGGATCCCGGCGTCTACCTTCTCCTGACTATCACGGCAGGACCTGCCAAGGCTCTCCACTCTCCAGGTCTCTCGTGGCCCAAGGGGTTCCACAAACACAGAGGAAGCTCTATGTAGACTTGGAGACAGGATTCATTACACCTGGAGAAGAACTCACTTAAAGCAGCTCCCTGCTCTCATCTGTCAGGTTCCTCTTGTCCGTATTTGTCATATCTTTTCCCCCCTTTTAGGTTACGTTCAACAGAATTATTAAGTTGATCTGCTTTCTTCCTATAATCTATAATCTCTCACTATTACACCAAATGTCTCCAGCAGTAGGTCTACCCCTCTCTTTACTGTATTGTTAGTCTAGGGATTTCTCCAAATTCTTAGTCTACTCTGGGATTAGTCTTCGTACTAGTTAGTACCGGCAGGTTTATAGGATACTTGCTTCCCAAAACACAACAGCAAAATTAAATTTGTTTTGCAAATTTTTTAAGACCATCTTTAAGATAAATATTTATCTCACTTAATAATGAGATTATTCATCACTGCTATGACAGTAAGATTTAGTCTACTGGTTTTAAGTTATATAACATAATACATTACTCTGTAGTTAATACCTACCTCTGCAGTTAAATTTGGCGGTATCATAATGTCTTTCAGCACACCTAAAAGAAAAGTTTAAATGTGATCTAAAGTTATCTTTTACACTTGTGAAAAAAAATACAGTAGCAAACATTTTTCTGAACTTTTATAATGGACCACACATCATGCTGTTTTGTATTAACTATTTCTTTCAATCCTAGAAATTCTATGAAGTAGGTACTGATATTATCCCAATATTTTACAATTAAGGAAACCAAAGCTTAGAAATGTTAAGCGTATGCAATTATAGCTTATGCACTTGCTTACAAAACATGTGATGCCACTAATATGCAACATTGCCAATTCAGCCGCATCTCCACCTTCAAATTTCCTGGATGGACATTTTGCATGCTAATGGAATCTATTTTTGATTTCACAAGTATATAGAAACAACTAACCAGTTTCAATATTATCCTTACCTCAGAGTTGCACATACATACTGTTCTCAAACTATTAGTTAAAAAGATAAATTTTTTAAATAGTAAAATTATAAGGGCAAAGAAAACGTAATGGAAGAAAGTGAATGATGCTAATCTACTAAAAAACAACAGTTAACTAAAAGTTTTTTTAAGTCAGACCTTTCTCTCTTTAGAAAAGCCCAAGGTCATCTTTTTCAATAATCTCTCAGGTTACAAGTTTTAATTAAAGTCTCAGAGTCATGAAGGAATAATAAGTAAAATAAATATAGAATAGTAAAATGTTGACCTAGCACTACTTAGAGCATGCTAAAGCTGTCTTTTTAACAGTAGTGACATGTTTATCATCACGCACTGACTTACTTATGATTAACCGACTGTATTTATAAACCTTTAAGAGGCTCCAAAAGGGACCCTATACTTTAGTTTGTGGTCAGCAGCATCGTGGTAACTACAACAGCAGTTATAACCAAACCACATTTTTTTAAAAAATCATATAAAACAAAAACTTAGCATTTTAAAACAAATAAGGGCCTATAATCCCTTAATCTCCAATTCCAAAACCCCCAAATTTGGAAACATCTAACACTTTCTGTTAAATATACAGCAAACTCAATTGTAGCAGAACCTGACCTGAGTTAATGATACTGTATGCCCTCTTTAATTAATGCCCTTGGAGTGAAGAGTCAAACACTTCATGTTATGTACTTGCTCCAGGTATCATGTAATACAAAGTATCTGCTTTCATGGTACCCTTCTGCAAAACGAAAAATTCTGAATCCCAAAACACAACTGGCCCCAAGAGTTTCAAATACGTGACTGTAGACACGTATCTTACATTTAAGAAATCCTATAAGTATCTGTATAGTTCCTCTAAACAGTTTTAAATCCAAATCCACATTAAAGTGAACTAATGATCAACAAATTAGAATCCAGTAGTTTCTAATTCGTCAGACCTGAAATAAAACAGCTTTCATACTACTGCTTAAAATAAAACTTTTCCCCTTTTTTGTATAATTTAGTATATTGAGTTTCGCTCAAAAAAATTATTTAGCTATGACATATGCACATATATGTATCCTTACTAAATAATTTCATACTCACTCATAAAAAACGTGACAGGTACGAGGAAGACTGACCAAGAAAAAAGTCACATTTTATACTTTCTTTAGTACAGGTTAAAGAAGAGGTCTGGTAAATAGTGAAGAATCCATAATGGAATATTTTATAAGGAATCATGCAAAGACAGGATTTAGATGCAGGGACAAGGAACAACCTAGGAAACAATTCTAAGAAGCTGGTCTCATGGCAGCACAACCTTAGTTCGCTAAAATTCCCGTGCTTTTTCAGGAGCTCAAATGTTTGGTTCCACAAACACTGCTGAAGAACTACCTTCATAAACTGATTCTCCAATGTTACCGTGAAGAGGAAGAAGTGGAAATAATGAGCTACTACATGTCTACCAGATGCGCACACCTTCCAAAGGAGTTTCCGAGTTTTTTAATTCATAGTCACAGCCATATAATCTCCAATTTATATATGAGAAAGCAAAGATTTAGAAGAGCATCGAAAAACTTGCCCCAAACCACAACGAGCAAATCAAAGATCCAGGACTTAAGCACAATACTTGTGATTACAAGTCAAACTCCTTCCAGCACTGTGCCATAGGAATATTTATATTCGTATACATAAGAAAAAATAGAGAACGGTTTTAAAAACAAAAGTAGTAACAAATTTTACTCAAAGTCAGCCTTCCTATAAAAGTGACATTTGGCACAAAAGATAGAACCAACAAAGAGTGATCATGAAAAAATGAAAAAGTTATGAAAATCTCTGCAGGTTTGGACGAGGCGTATGTGAGAACATATACTGGGACCCATAGTGATGAAAGTGATCTGCAGGAGGGTTGCTAGGGTAAGAATGAGGACTCTCTTCTTAATCACAACCTTCTCTAATAACTGCATGCACATCACGCACGCACACACACACACACGAAGCTCCTCATAGCTTTTGTGGGTTATGTTAGTTGATAACACAAGTTTCTCAACAAACCAAAACTGAAGATACATAAATGGAAAATGGGATTTGACTAAGACAAGTATTAGGTAAATCTGACCATTTATACTTTCTTATAATTAAAATTAAATTAAAAGATACCATTTTTTAAAAATCTTCACTTTATGTAGGCTTATATGAGACAAGGGAGATGAAGAACCTTAGTTTCTAATGAAGCAGTAGACAGAATGTGAAGAAAGAGATTAAGATTACTAGGAAAAACTTCCAGAGAAGTGAGATTTGAAGAATCAGCTAGGCATGTAGATCTCTTCGGTAACTCTCTTCAACAAAGCTATCCCTGTTTTACAAAAGAAAACTTGAGATAATTAACAACAGCTAAAGATTTACCACAAAATGATGGAGAGCTGTATGTCAAACAGTGTACACAGTGAAATACAGCAACCTTTTTAAAAATTAGTATCCAGTGAACATTTAAGCTCCTCAAAGGCAAGAACTATATTATGCCTTCATTCCCTACCTGCCCCCTTCACCTCCTACACCCACCCACATACCTGCTATAATAGAGGAACGTACAAGAATGAAATACACACACCTGCACAAAACAACCTAATTTACTAAGTATCATTATACCCAAATTTGATTAATGATACGAGGCAAAATTTTGTTCCTTCTTAAAATAACTTACTGAATGCTTGATAATATAGAGATATAAACAGGTACGATCCTTTAAAAAGTCCACATTACAAACCGTTCTTCACCCACATGCCGTAATTGCCATAAAAAGTTTAATATGCCATTAATATACATATGTCTAGAGTAAATATTTTAAGATCTTTCCATTTATATATGTTCGCAAAAACATACATCACAAGTAATTAACATCCCCAAAATAAAAGCAATAAAAGAGAAACATCTGCTGCTAGCCAGACTCACTTACCCAGAGCCAGAAATATAAACAGGTAGAAAGAAGGTGTAGAATGAAAAGTGACATCAGAAATCACAACATGCTACAAGTTGGTAGTTCTAGAAACTTCTGAAGTAAGTGAAATTTGGGGAGATTAAAACAAACAAATAACAACAACAACAACAACAACAACAAACCAGAAAGGAAAATACTGGCATAAATAGTGGATGGTCTGCTACCTTATGTACCTGTGTGACCTTGTTCAACTCACTTAACTTCTCTAGGCCTCAGATTCCCCATCTGTAAAATGAGAAGGTTGGACTAAATGATCTCTTTCAGGTACTTTCCAGTTCTGAAAAGTCTATGATTCCATTACACGGAGTGGGGAAGGGGAATTGAAATACATATACCAAAAGCTACTCTCCACTGATAACGAGAGTTCATTAACTGTGGGATCCAATGTTTAGAAATACAAAAACAAACAGGCAGCCAAGTCCCCAGACGAGCTCCTGAAAGCCACCTTTAACCAAAATAATGCCAAGTGATCCACAGTACTGACAGTGCAAGCCTAGGTCCTAAACTCTGGAAGCAGGAAGCCACTGAATACAGGAATGAAAAGAATTTCCTTCCCTTTCTTTGGATATAATGTTGAATTCAAATAAATTTTTGAAAAAGGCAGAATATGTCTTTGGTATCTTTCTCCCTTCCATCTGGAATTCTAAATGCCTTATCTTGAGAGTCTAAACCCGAAGTAACTCAGTGGACTGAAGCTTTTGACAGTTCTTGTCGTGTGTGTGTGTGTGTGTGTGTGTGTGTGCGCGCTTTTTTTTAAACTTAGCTTCTGAGTCTAGTTATTCAAAAAATATAAAAAGCTTTGTGGTTTTTATTTTCCTACATGGAAACACTATGGCATCTGCAACAAGGCTTGTTACAGGAGGTTAATCAGTACAAGAGGAAAATATATGCACAGATCATCTGTAAGCTGGGGCCCACCCAAACTTAAGTCTCTACAGCACATTTACTTTCTTCACCTTGTTATCTATTACCGCCACACCCGCCCCCCCCCAACACCTACCATAATCTGACCGTAATGGATTATCTGCCATATTCTAAACACTATTATGCCAACAAGGTCCTTATGTGCCCCTCTCTCTGCCTGCAATGCCATTTCCCTAACCTGAGGCCTGCAGGACAGGCCCCATGGATTCTTTCACCCCAGCCCAAACATGCCTTTCTTTATGAAAACTTTCCTATGGAGTACAATTACTATTTCCACTGTTGCCCACACAGCTCTCTTCTACACAACAGTCACCTCTTTTGTAATAGTTTGTCCACCTATCACATTAGACTATCAACTACCAGAGACTGAAACTCTATCTTATTCACCTCTGAACCACCACCCAGTTTTACAATGCCTAATGTGGCAAGCACTGCATAAACGTTTGCTTCTTTGTGAATCTGAGGAAATTAGTGAAAAGTTACAAAGAGAAACAATAATGGTGTCTACTTCACTCTCAGGTCTTCTGAGGTCTTCTCAGAACAGAAAGATCACTAAATTAAAGATAGAAAAGCAAATCTCACAAGCTGACAAGGCAGACATCCTTTCTGGTGAAGATTTAAATGCCTATGGAAGGTAGAAAAGAATCTTGCTCTCACATTTGATTAACAAATTTTACAAAAATTGTGA